TAACAAATTGTCGAAATAAAATACAATGTGGTTTTAAAGTATACGTTGTATAACTAAATTAAATTATTTGAAAGAGACAGGCAAATAAATTTAAAAGTTTTTGGAAAATATGTACCTACTCATCATACAATTTAATTGAAATCGCGAATTTTACACCAAATTTCTTGAGGTTCAATAAGTAAGTACAAGAGTCGAATGCTATAAAATTTCACACCTAATACGGGTGTATTAGCTCACCGATGCCAAACCTTTTTTCTTGAACAAAAGTTTTACTTGCAGTTTTATGAAAAATGTGATTTTAATTTGGCGTTGATTTGATTGATTTTGAATATAGCATATTAAAAATGTACCTTAATTTTATCAAGTTGGGTGTCGATCGCTGACCATGGTGACGATCTGGTCAAGCACAAAAGTTGACTTTTAATAATAAATAAAAAAGTACTAATTTTCAATAATAACTATGTAATTATTATGGTAACCGTATTAATCGCAGTCAGTTATTACATAAACCGGAAAATTGATGTCAATATATTTAAAAAAATCAATATGTATTTTAAAAGCGTAGACTGCATAGTTATATACCTACATATATTGCAATAATTGATGCTGTCTAGTTAGACAATCTACTAGAAATTTATCGCTAGTTCAATTGTGATATAAATTTTACAAAGAGCATTTCTGATAGATGAGACTGAATATTAACTACATTATGGCAAGATCAAAGCCACCTTATTAAGTATGAACAGAAAAAAACATTTAATTATGCAGTTCAGATCAAGTCAAAGACGTAATTTTCAATACCACTGCAAATCATAAGCTTGAAATTTGCTTTATAAATTGTACTTGTTTCAATCAAAACTAGAATATAAAAACTAGTAAATATCGCTTGTAATGAAGCGAACTCCGATTTACTTATAATTTAAAGCAATATTCTTTACGAAAATATAAACATTTAAATTAAAACTGTTAATGTTTGTTGTTGATATATAACGTAAACTTAAAAAATTGGTGCATTCATACAAATTAGTATTCTGACTATCAAAACTACAATGTATATTATTTAAAAAAAAAAAAATTGTAAAAATGCATGCAACTTACAAGTAATATGAAAAATAGGAATCCAGATTGGCCGGTATACGCTCTGTCGCACGTGGAAAACTGTTACAGTACGGTTTTCAATCAATTCAAATTCACGACACTCAACTCCTTACTACCTGGAGTAAAATTGTCTTCTAAATATCTCAGGTGAGTGCTTTTAGGTATCGTATCTCGTTGGGAGCACACTGATCTCGACTGATTATAATACAGAGACGGGCTAGCTTCCACCCACTAAGCACGGAACCTTTTTGAAACTTTCTATCAAATCTCATATGGACAACTTTTGCAACATTTAAAACCAATCATTTTTTTATGGTTTTGATTGTTCCTGATAAAGTTTCAAAAAAATGCGATGTCAAAATGCTAATTGGATTTGAGTAAACTTAATCGTTCAGTTATTCTGCTCAACATGTTTTGCAATTCTTGCACTCCTTAAAGTTGAGTTTTGAAATAGACGTAGATTTCAAGATGGCAGTAATTGTTTAATTTCGTTCTTCGATTTCGTCAATGTTTCAATCTCTAATGCAGTTCTGGCATCTTCTTGCAACTTAGAAATTGATTGGAAACTATTCTTTAGGAGATCTCGAATTAATTCAAGACAATTGAAACTTTGAGAAAAAGACCTTCTAATACCAACTTGAGGATTTTGTTTGTTTAAAAGAAACTGAATTAGATATTTTAAAAATATTGTTCCAACTAACAAATACAAGCAGTGAGTGCATTAAAGATACATTCTGAAAGTACGAAATTGGAAAATATTGTGCGTTTTACAATCACTCTTTTAAGGCAATGTATTTGCAAATAGTGAAGGTTTTAACCAGATGGGCGGATGGCTCAATAAAAGTTGGATTTTATGGGAAAATATTATAAAATATTCTGCAACTCAGTGTACTTTAACAAAATTTTAAATATGCTTTACTCAATGACAAGTTTTGAACATTAACTAATAAATTTGCCTCGCTTAACAATATCTAATAGATAATTGATTAAAATCTAATTAAACGCTAATGCTTTCCAAAATATAAATAATCCGGTACTGGCTTACATATTTCATCAACATCTAATTTAATATTGACATCAAATAATCAAAACAATGGAACGATATCATAATTACAGTAGTTCCCATATTTCGTACCATATGCATTGTCCTTACATTATACGAGTGTAGCATTTTAAATAGTTTTTAAAAATATTCAACTAGCAACATGAGAAACCATATCTACCGCAAAAACCCTATGAAAAATTCAGTTTAACGATAACAAATGTTTATTAATCAGTCACCCAATGTGGTACTTGCAAAAAGGTAGTTTTGCTTGGGAAATTCTATCGCACGCATTTTGCATAGCATTTTATATACAAGGTATGTGAAGGGCCCGATGCCTTTCTGATTAAAATCCATCTCGACTTAAAATTGAGTCAGCAAATGCTGGTTATTGTATTAGAGGATGCTGAAGTTTGAGCAATAGTTTGAAAATCACTTAAAGTCTCTTAACTATCGATTTAAGTTCTTTGTTGATGTTGGCTGCGGACCCACAGCAACCACTAAAGTCAGGGAATTTGCAATAAACAGCTTCACAGCAATCATCCACCGGCTTCAATTGTTCACAAGTTTATAAGCACACTTTTTATGTACTACACAGGGTGATTTAAAATTGGCGTCATTCCTTTTAGGGGGTTATAGGGGCCCACTTGGAGAGCATACTTGCTTCTTGAGTGATCATAGGTATAGTAAGTTAAGGAAAGCTTGCATTCACGGGTTCCCTTGAGCCTGCATTTTATTGATATTTTTGGGAATCGTATTTCAGTATGCACCATTCATTAGCCGTATTCTGATTGTGTATCGGTAACTTGTTTGTGTATTTTTAAAATAATTTTCCGGGAATACGCTTAGTGTTTCTGTTTTGTTCATTTTTTTGAATTGAAATTGTTTATTATGTATTGTGTTAAGCGACCGAAAATTATTTTTTTGTGGAATTTCTTTTCTGCATTAGATGATAATTCTGCAAAATGCAATTTATGTAAAGCAAAATTATCTTTACAAAACTTTAAAAAATATAAATTACAAATATTTTAAAATTGTTTCTGCAAGTGACGCACAATTGCCCATCGCCTTGACGCTGCTATATCACGAAAACGGCAACCGCAAGTGAAATCACATTCACTTTCAAAAGTTTTTTTGAGTTTTTCAGTTTTTCAAGAGTTTCAAATCAAGTTTTAGCTCATCTCTAAACTAGAGCGGTTCAAACAAACCGCTCTTGCTTCACGCGTGGCGCCGTGATCCAGAAATTGCGACGCAGTGCGTGTCAGTTTGAGCATCACTTTGCAATCAATATGAATGAATTGAAATGGCGAAATACTTATATAAATCACCGAATATTTTTTATTCATCTAAAATACCCATTGACAATTTAAAATAATATCAGAATTTCCTTATTAGTTAACTAATTAACTCCTTTGCAATGTCACACCAAGTTCGAGTTTTCAATTTGGCTTTCAGATAGCCGGTATGTTTTGTATCTTACAGCTCCTAATGTTATATGAACAAATATTTCAATTAACCCCTTTTCTGCAATTTAAATAAATTGCAAAAATCAGTAAGTATTGAATTTGTTTAACGCAAGAATAATATGATAATTTCCATATTCATATTAGTCAGTCTAATAATTAGACATTGAATTTAATTTTCTTTTGAATGTAAAATATATATTTTGTTGATGCTCCGGAGGAATGTACGTAGTTTCGCCACTGTTCTCGGCAGCGAAAGAATTACTTTTGCCCATTACAATGACGACAATTTACCTTTCCGCCCATTTCCCCCAAATTAACTTTTGTTCATTCGGTGTGGAAATTAATAACTTTCGCCACTCACGCTTCTGACAGTGTGGCTGTTTGCCTCTGACTATCAGCTGACAACAGTTTTGACAACATTTTAAAAGTTTTTTTAAAACCTTATCCCTAAAATTGTTGACATGTAATTTTTCAATATCTATTAAGATCCAGATCTTCATCCAAAGAAATCGAGTATACTTTTATGCATTGTAATTTACATATTCTAACGAAAGTAGAACAACAAATAAATATTTACAGTAAAATGTACATATCTAATCAATCTTTTGATGGGCTAATAAAATTTTACTCAACTACGCTACAAACTCAATTATTACTAATGCAGATGATTCGTCGCAAAGATTAAATTATATTACTGTTTACACAGCAACTCTATGTACTCTGGCAAGGGATATTGGAAAAATAATTACTAAAGTGTACCTTATAAACCGTTTATCGAAATGTAATTACTACTTGAGGTTTCACTGTTTTATAGAATGCGCATAATAAACACGTTAATTAACTTATACAATTTGAAATTAAAATTTAGCATTAAAAATTAAAAGTTATTTTCTACGTAGAACTACATACTGTAACACTACATGTAATATGATGCAAATGAATGCAAACTTTTCAACATTTGGATGAACAACATTTTAAACAGACACACGACGCGCTGATTCATTGCATAATCGGTTGCAATGTTTTATAATCAAATCAAAATCAAATCGAATTAATCAGAATCAACAACAAAAAAGTAAAGATGCTTTGGAAAAAACTCTCTCCTGTAACTGAAGTTGGAGGAACGACATTAAGACCTAAACTTAGGAGGATTATTGTAATTGTACTTTTCCAGTTACGGATAACAGCCCATATTCATGGGATACCCTGTATAGTGAAAGGTTCAATACTATTTCCTCTTAGATGGGTATTGAGCAAATCCAATTAAACGTTAGCAAATAATACATATATATTAAAGAAAGAGAAATAAGTACTAAGGAAGTTATAAATAAATACTAGAAAATATAAAGATATATTCAGCTACAGTCAAAAGGGCCACTCTATCGGACACTCACCTTGTACTTGGACCAACGAACGGGGCACAAACACTAATTATGTCCATCAATAAGCAATTTTACGTAGGAAATATCATCTTATAGAGAAGGGAAAACATATGGAATCGATCACATTTTAAGCACCTACTGTTTTAGCTATGGGACACTTGTTCATAGCTTTGGTTTTTAATTTAATGTTTTCTCACCTGAAATGAATCGTTGGTATGTTAAGCGTTTAAAACGGTCTATTTTTCTTATCATATCTAAGTACTACGAGGACATATTAAATACGGTTCCATATCGGATTACCGTATTGGTCACATTATGTTTTGTTTTATCATTTTCTGCTGGGGAAACCCATCCTTAAAACCAAATATTAAGACGAACCGCATGGTCTTGCGAGGCTCTTCACGACTCTTGCGAAGTCTTGGTCTTGTTCTTGATTTTTTTGCAAGACTAACACCAGTATCGCCCATCTCTAACTAGCACCACGAATTAAAGTAGAACACGTTTTTTTGCAGTTAGCCATCCATCAATTTGAAAAATTAAAAATATTGTTACATCGAATTTGCTTTACAGTGAACGGTTGTTTTGTTCTTGATGATATTATCATGTCTTCGTATTTTTCTGAAATGTAAATTCAATTGTGTCACTTTACACAACCAAAATTCCTGTCACAGGGCCAAAACGAATGTTCTTTTATTGGAAAATAATGGTATATTTTATTAAATCGCCTAATAGCCTGCAATGCCAGTAAATTCTGCCCCGCACAACCATCGGAAAAAACTGCGTATACCAAAAGCTGTCCAAAATTAATAATCCTGGACAGAAATATGTGGAAGAAGCATTTTTGCATATAGTCAAAAGCGAGAGCCACGACGTCAGAACTTTCGTTACACATATTTTTGACCGATTTGATTTCATTATAAAACTTTTGCCACTCTCTTTGTATTTACGTTACGGTTAATATGTTTAAGCCTGGCTCCAAGGTTTTCACTTTCCGAGCAAACATCAACCTGTGGTCTTTCAAATTTAAGATTGAAGTTTTGAAATATTCGATGTTCTTTCTTGTTTAGGGGTTTCACTTCTTTCTCGATGTCCTAGAATGGGTTAAACTTCCACCAGTCCCTGTAAATAGTATAGTAAGTATCTTGCTCGCTTTTTGGCCTACCGTCGTATAGATTAGCTATTATTTATCTCTTTTCCTCCTCAAAGCTCGCATTGACAGTCTCATTAAACGTTAATATGCACTTGCTCATTTTGTAGTTAGTATCTGATTAACTCGTTCCACTTATTATTTTGGTTAATTCATTTCGTATTCTTAAAGGCAGCCCGTTTTCACATTTATTCCTTCCTATGAAGGCGCGTACAGACATGCCAAACATAACACAGTAACGCAACACCGTGGCGTAACATTCGTTGTTGCGTATCGAAGATACGATGTTATTGAACAAAAAGCGCAGTGTATACGTATCATCATCACACAACCTTTTTCGTTCCATCAGTCCATACAATCATGTTCATCAACCTCCGCGTTGAAGCGTCCATTCTTCATCAACATTCCACATCATAAAGACATTATCAAAGTTTTTACCACTAGAACCATTGAATCTGGATTTGAAGAGGTAGAAAATCTTGTTACTTGCCCCCATGTATAGTCGAGGGAACACCATAAATCATACCAATAATAAAAAATATGTAAGTATCGAAGTGCCGGCACTGTGCATTTTGATTAGGCTTACTAATCGCCGATTAAACTAATCCGGGGTTTGACACATAGGTGACCGATTTAATAGTAAGTCCCGGAAAATTATGGAGACAAAAATTACCAGACTTCAAATTTTTTGCTAAATAAATAAGCTACAAATTCATTAGGAACGTTATCTGAGTAATACATTACTCAATTAGACTGATACAACACTCAATTAGACTGATACAAGACTCAACAACTGATAAGGAAATTTCAGTGAGCGTTTTCTTATACTACTTTAAAATAAATTTCAACCAGTATATAACGGGTTATGCAATTCGAGGTTGGGAAAGTAAAACCTTGCTATTTGATATCTGTCAAAGGTAAACGTCATCTGTAGTGTTTTTGTTTCAGTTGAAGGTTTGCATTTTGGAATAGGGATAGTTTAACTGTCGAAGAACGCGTAAAAATTATTAAATGTTACTATAAAAATGGTGATTCTGATGTATTAACTTTTAGGACAGTGCTTCCCACACTTTTTTTCTCGTGAACCACTTTTAAAGTTTTACTATTTTCGGTAGACCCGCTGCTGCTACATTTCTACTGTATTCCCAAAACTCCTCAAAAATATCACCCCGAATTGGGGGTGTTAAGAAGAAAAAAAGTAGCACATTTCCTTGTGTCCTATTTATTAAAATAATTCTTGTGGTTATACAAAATTATAAACATTTATTATTACAAACAATCAACAATAAATTCTGAAATGTAAATCAACAATACACTACTTATTCTACTACTTCTCACACTCATACTTTTAATGAGACGTATGTACTTGATGAATTGACAGCAAATTATCAGTAGTTGGTTTCAGTTTTGTAAGAAGTAATCCCAAATCTCCCCGTTCTGTGATGTTCAATCTGCTCCTTTTTTTGTTAACAGGTTGGTACGTTAACCTTTCCTGGCTTTTTGTTCCTTTATTGAAGTTTTGGATCATTTCTAGTATAAATTTTTTACTACATAACTACCCACTACAGCTACACTCAAATAGTAGAATAAATATAATATGATTGATAAATTACAATATACAATAAAACCATGTATAACAAATAGGCAGATACTTACTTTTTTCGGCACTGCACTTCAAGTCACACAAAATTTCGGAAGCAAATGAGTAACGTTTCCTGTGTTGAACGTTTTTTAGACTTAGCCAGTTAGGGCTTTTAGTCTATAGTGCTGGCCAACGAGTGAGCCTGAGTGAGGAAGGGGATTATTTGCCTGAGATTAATCAGTGAACCAAAAAAATAAAAATAAAAAAATGAAAATAGATCCACTGAAAAAGAAGAAGTAAGTTTTGGATAATTTGGAAGAAGCAGGTTCTGTCGTTTGGCCTTATTTATTTGTAATGCGTTTAAATTTAGTTTTTCTTTAAGCCGGGTTTTTGCTTAAGGTGGGTGTTTCCAAGGGGCGTCTGCCATTAGACTTTTGGGAGATTTTAAGTGTATCTTTGGGATTGTTGAGTAACGTTTTGTTCTTGGCATTCGTATTTATACTAATGTAGATTGCAAGCACAGGGCAAGTCGAATTTCATCACTTTGCAGGTCTAAACAAGCATCCCGGACGAGCGGGCGCACGGGCAAGTCTCGACATGTGGTGTACACTTGTACTATTATCTATAGTTCTGTTCAATTATGTGTTTGAACAGAGTCTCGCATATTTTTGAGTACCTACCTAGTGAATGATGCTACCTGCCTACGTTGATAGGTAAATCTAAGCAAAAATTTCTGTTCCATTATTAAAACCAGCTAATTTTTCATCTACCCCCCTTACAACTTGTGAACCCCTGTTTTCTTTTCACGTCTACGTGGACCCGTCTGGTCTCCTATGGACCCCTTGGGGTCCACCTGGACGACTTTGGGAACCTATGGTTTAGGGCTTTACGACTAGATTACGCTCAACATATTCGACCCACAGAGCAAATAATTTCGAACACAGTGAACAAATTTGAAAAGATTGGATCGGTTACTGATATTGTAAGGCCTGTGTATCATCACAACATTCGTTCAGCTGAAAATATCGCTGTTGTTGCTGAAAGTGTGGAGGAAGACCCTAATTCGTCGATTCCCCGACGTCCGCAACATTTCGGCTTGTCTTACGGCTCATTGTGGCGAATTTTGCAATTGGATTTAAAGCTCCATCTGTACAAAGTCCAACTGACTCAAGTACTTAAGCCTCAAGACCATTGGCATCGCAGAACATACGCAAATTGGGCGATTGAACAACAAGCCGTTGATGATAATTTTTCGAACCGAATTTTCTTCAGCGATGAGGCTCATTTTTCGCTCGGTGGTTACGTGAATAAACAGAACAGCCGTATATGGGGGTCTCAAAATCCTCAGGTGATCGCAGAAAGGCCCTTGCATCCTGAAAAAGTTACCGTATTTTTTTTAAAACGATCATGGAAGAGCCATAACAGTCAATTCTGCGCTCAGGCTATGGACGCATGTTAACCGATTATTTTTGAGAAGATTGAAGATTATGATCTGGAAGACATGTGGTTCCAGCAGGATGGGGCAACGAGTCACACAAGACTGGCAGTTAGAGCCCTATTGCAAGAGACATTTCCAGAACGCGTAATTTCGAGATTGAGTGAGGTCAATTGGCCCGCAAGATACTGCGACTTAACACCGCTAGATTTCGTTTTGTGGGGCTATGCGAAAGATCGTGTTTACGCCAACAATCCTCAAACTCTTGAGCAACAAGAAACCCATGTCCGTGAAGTTATGACCGGTAATGTGCCAAAAAGGTTATGCATATAGAAATTTCGTAGTATTTTCACCACTTAACGATTGAAAATGAACCGTCCTGCATAAGCAATCACACGTTCCACGGTATGATTGATATTTTTAATTTGCCAGCTTTCGATTTACAAATTGTAATGTAATGCTTATACTTTACATAACGTATGAAATTATGTTGAATTAATAGTGTTAAAAACGAATGTCCATGTCCACGTCACATGTTCTTTAAAAAAATGATCTAACAGCAATTTTTATACAATTTGTTTCGCTCGTACCAACAATTGATTGAACTCTTACAAAACATTGATTTCAAAGCATAATAATAAATATTTCTCTTTCAATTTAAAAAAAAACTATACTGAAACATTGACATGCTAAGGACAAATATGAGGCATAAGTCAATAGTTTTATAAAGTGGAAGTACGCAACACTTCATGCTTTTTTGTGTATTAAGTAGTTTCGTTCAATAGCTTACCTTTTCAGGGCCGACTTAAGTATTTTTAATCGCATTTTGACCGGTAGTTAATCGTAAAGTGGGTTAAATCGTGAAGCAAGAATTTTCTTTTATAAAATTGTAATATTATATTTATTTTTTACAAAGTTCTTTTTGGGTATTTGGCCTAAAAAATTTTTGTCTTTAAAAAAGACAGAATTTCCTCACGTCTTTTATTACAGATTGATAAATAGTGTTCCTATTTCGCAATAAGAACGAATTATTTATCAAA